CAGGAATTGGCACAGAAGTTAAAAAAAAAGCCTTCTCAGCTTTCAAGTGCAGACGATTAATGTCCCAGAGACAGTGGGCAGAGGTTTGGCACAGTGTACAAAACTGACTTACAGCTGAAATTTTCCTCCTCTTTGCAGACACAGGCTTTGAAAGCCATTCATCTATGAGATGCTGCATTTTATCCATAATGGGAACATCTCACCTGCCACAAGACTCAGCTGAAGCACAGAGGAGACCACACGAAGGGCTGAGTCTAGGGATATACACAAGTTGCCTTCTGTCTCTGTAATTCTGCAAAGTTTTTTTGCTTCCAAGGTTTGCACGTCACTTCAATAAAAACCTCCTCACTGAGATTAGCATCTCCATTACACTGAGGTGCACAGCCTCTCCTCCCCCAAAACCCACTCCCTTATAGGCACTGAGATAAAAAGACATATCTTGTGCCAGAACAGTGGCAGGTACCACCTCCAACAAGAGAGTGTAATGTAAGGAAGCAGCGAGGCATCCATGACTCTGAACAGCCTGGAAGAATTAAAAATGAAGGGCACACTGAAGTCAAGGATATAACACACAGTCCTCTTCAGCTCTGCACACAGCTCTGTAAATGGTGCCCTTTACCACTCCTCCAGGAGCAATTCCTTGGCTTGGAGAATGTCACACACAAGCAAACAAGACAACTCCAGAGAAAACACTTCCAAACTGTGAAGAGACAGAGGGATGAAGGGTGCAAAGCAATGAACAGACAGAGGCTGGGTCACAGTGGCAAAATAACAGGATCTCAGAGAGAAAAAGAAGGATGACATCTATTGGGCTCACAGATAAACAGGATTTCCCCAAGATGAAAAAGCAGTAAATGACTTACAGCTACATTGTAAAGACAAAGGATTCAGATGCAGCTTCTTAACGCTTTTAGAATTCAGAACACTCCTGAAGGAGATTTTAGCTTACATGTGGAGAAAACAGCAGGATCACAGAATCATAGAATCATAGAATGGTTTGGATTGGAAGGGGCTTTAAACATCATGCAGTTCTACTCCCCCAGCACAGGCAGGGACACCTCCCAATAGACCAGATTGTTCAGAGCAACATCCAACCTGGTCTTGAACGCTTCCAGGGATGGAGCTTCCACAACTTCCCTGGGAAATCTGTTCCAGTGTCTCACCCCCCTCAGAGTGAAGAATTTCTTCTTAATGTCTAACCTAAATCTACCCTATTCTGGTTTAAAACCATTACCTCTTGTCCTATCCCTTGTAGAAAGTCCCTCCCCAGCTTTCTGGTAGGCCTCTTCAGGTGTTAGAAGGCCACTATAAAGTCTCCCCAGAGCCTTCTCTTCTCCAGGCTGAAGAACCCCAACTCTATCAGCCTGTCTTGATAAGAGAGGTGTTCTAGCTTTTCAACATCTTCGTGGCCCTCCTCTGAACTTGCTCCAAAAGTTCCATGTCCTTCTTGTGTTTGGGTCTCCAGAACTAGACACAGTACTCCAGGTGGGGTCTCACAAAAGTGAAGTAGATGGGGAGAATCTCCTCCCTTGACCTGTTGGCCACAGTTGTTTTGATGCAGCCCAGAAGATGGTTGGCTTGACATGGTGAGAGACTAAGCTATGTGTATTTCAATCTATATGCTCTTACAGGGCAGCAAGTGAGGCAGCCTGAAAAAAGCTGGCCTATGCATGGGCATTTCCCATCCTACAGATCACTTAATGACAGTACCCTGTTTGCATGGCCATGGAGCTGGAAGCACTGCCAGGGATGGGCTGTGGGTGAATGACACTTTTGGCCCCTTCCAGTAAAGAAAGAGGCTTCTGAAAGCATTGCAAGTGCAAGGCACAGTGAAGAAAAAACTTTATTCAGGGAATAAGGTTCTGTCTTGCTCAGCAGCTGTATGCTCAGATGGGACCCAAGGCAGAGATACAGAGATACATTCCAGTTTCAGTCATGCTCACGTGAATCATTAATCACCAGAAGGAGTGGGAAGAGGCTGTGGATTTACATCCCTGCAGCTTGTTTCAGAAACTGGGCTCAAAATAAAGAAAAAGAGAGACCGCCAAAATGACAAAACATGACTGAGAGGAATATGCACAAGAACCACCTCCTTTTGCCTAATATTAAAATGGAAAGGAGAATAGATGGGTATCAATGTGATCCTTCACATTCAGCACAGCATCCAGAACTGCTGCAACCAAACAATTGCCTCCCCCTCCTTTTGGTGACATAAAATATTGTAGGACCAAGATCACAGCTGGCTCTGTGAAAGAAATGCTGCTATACCACTTTTGCTGGGAAATTAACATGGAACAGTTGGTGAAGAACTCAGGGTAGAGGAAAATATGCCATATTTTGCATGATACACTAAAGATGATGTAGTTGAGAGCAGAGGAAGTTGCACTGAGATGGAAGTAAGAGATTCTTTGCTGTGCTTCAGACTAGAGCTGTTACTCGGTCAGGTTCAGTAACAGTAAAAAGTCAAAATCAGGCTAAAAACGCATGAAGGGAGCAAGGGAAGAGGCAGCCACATGTCAGTGC